TTTTTGAGAGATCAAATTACAAAATATGTTAAAGCAATTTTGTACAATCAACTTAATTATCAATTTAAAGAAAATCATTTAATTGGTGATACGATCTCTAAGATTGTCTATAACACTTCCTCTTCTCTTTAAATTCCTTCCTACACCACATAATGTTCGGAAAGTATCACGAAAGCCATCGATAACTGGAAATACGGGCCATCGATCCGTAATTTCTTTAAACGACGGACGATGTTCGGCGAAAAGATTCAAATCCGTGTCGCTATCGATCTAAATTCCGTGGCGGACAAAGTACAACCTTTCCGTTCCACAGCGAACGATACGATGTTGAATCGTCACGAGGAAATTCGTTACTTTGACGATCGTTCCCATCGAAGCTCTTTCTAACGGTGCACAATGAAATGAATCACGTTGCCATTGTAGGCAATCGTTTGCGATTCATTTAACTTGCTAAGAGATTCCTTCCGGAAACGTCGCGGTGCGTTCTAAGTGCAATTCAGGAAAGGAAATTTTCTCAAGGAAGACCCATTTTCGGGGAAGACGTACTGTATGTAGTTGAACACAGCTCACGGATTCTCGTTGTGCTCTTCTAAGCCGGCTAGCGATCGTTAACACTCTCATAATCATTGTCGCCAGTTGTGCACCATGAAACCAAATGGCGTACATACCGACCCTTTCAAACTTATTTACGATGTTTTTCTTCAATTCCGTTCACAATTGCATAAAAATTTTATTTATTAAAATATCTAACTTAATCTTGACATGATCACGCAATTATAAAAAAATACTTAAATGAAACTTTAATAAATGAATATCAATCAATATATGTACACACGCACGCACGCCCACGCACACGCACACAAAACACAGAATAAATAAATATTTCATTTTTTATTAAGGGGCAAAATTTTATGCCTAATAATAACCTTTTGCGAATTTTATACATTTTGTTTATATTTCTTGAATATTTCTTATATATTAATTATTATTTCGTAAAACTGCATTTTAAGACCAAATATTTATAGAAGATGTTGATATTTATTATTGAGAATATGTAAGTAAAAACAGGTTTAAAATATTACAATGAAAAATTATAAAATAAAATTTAATATTTAAAAGAAAGCATGAATAATAGTATAACAATAATAGTGAACAATAAATAATAATTATAATTAAAGAAATGAAAGGATAGTGAGAACAAAGAGAGAACTGATAAGCAGAATGTCTACAAATGCAAATGCAGAAATGCAAAAAGATTAGCAATTAAAATTACATCAACGCTTTCGGTACATAATTTCACTAGAATTTGTATCCGATAATTAACACATTCAATCAAACTCAATATTAGGAATTGTAATTAAATTTCTAACTTCAAATAATTAACTTAATTTAACTTTAAATTATAAGTAAACTTTTAAAAAAAAAATCGTGTTCATTTTTACGAGGCTTTTAGCTTCGTTCATTTTCTGCAGATGCAATCCTGGCACGCAGATCATGCGTAGCATGCACTTGAATAATTCACGGATCGGAACGATATCATTATAGGTGCGTAAAAATATTCAAAAAAAGCTGTATGCTGAAAGAAAGCGCTGCACCACATGCATGAGCTTGATAACTTCTCGTCGCCGCTATTACGCGTCACTATGAAGTGGGGCTAACGGAAGGATGATAAAAAGAGTCGCCCCTCGCCGCAGGGACAAGAACTACCTCCAAGATATTCGAGCAATTTCAGCCGTAGGAATATTCATGAACGATGCCGCGGTTGCTGGCTATACTGCTCCGCTTCTATTCACTCTACTGACGGCTCGGTCGAGGTCAGAAGGCTTGCTTTACGAAGCAGGAAATCTGTGCAGATGGGAGGCCATCTAAAGAAAAAAAAATGAATAGAATGGTTGGGGATGGACGTGGTTTCCCGTGGAGTGGAAAATGAGCCCAGAGGGAGGTCGTGACTGGGGTTAAGCAGCGACATCCGCACTTCAATTAGCTGAAGTGCGTAGACTAAAGAGCTGATGATGCTGTGCAATTTGTTATAGTAACTGCTTGTTGACCAATTGGTTTGAATACTTGAATAAATTACGAGATAATCAGACACACGAGTAGACAATAACTTTTTTTTTCTTTTTGCGTTTCAAGTCTGACAAACTAAATCGACACGCAGTTTATAGAACTGAAGAATGTATTTGCAAATTTGCATATGAATATTATTAAACATCGAGATCCGCTTCGAAAATAGAATTTTTTCTTTTGACTTATTTTTTATACATATATAGTATAGTGTAATACACAGAAATACATAAAATTTAGATATTCTGTATGCATGTACAAAGAATTTTTATTAATAAACACGTAATCGCTTGATTATTAAAAGAATAATATTCTTAGAGAGAGACAGCAGCATCAGAAAATAAATTAACTAAATTATGTGACTTGCTACTCTTTTAATTCATTATTTTAATCACTTGGAGCACTTTTTAATCCAGTCGTAAAGAAAAACTTAAGAAAATCCATACCACCTGAAACTCTGAACCTTATTCTTGCATAATTTACTTTGCGTTGCGAAGTGCCTCGTCCAATCCAGACGGAAATTTTTTTGTCGAGGCGAAGAAAATGAAGAAAATCTTGTCTCGTTCCGATTCTTATGGCGAAGTGCCTCGTCCGATTTTCCGACCCGCAAACGCTAACGCGTAGCTGAAACTCTATATCGACAAACCTCTCGTAGTCGACAAGAGGAAATTCGAACGGTAGTACGAGACAATTTGCTGAATCGCGATCGCCTTGAGGCTGGGAAATCGAAAACCCATGATTGCAATTTGCGCGCGCGAACACTCCGCACGACGTGGCTAAGGGCTGCTCGCATTGTCGTACGATGTGCCAAGTTTCTGCGTTTCGATCTCGTTGCACGTCTCGTTGGATCCTGAAGACGTTTTGAAGCATTTGCACAAATCAGCGGTGCTGTAAACCGCATTCCATCAAACTATTGTTCTAATTTATTATGTTAGATGATTTTTGATTCTTGAAAATAATCGTGATTATTTAGAAAAATGGAATAGAAACATAATTTTAAAAATTATCCTGGAATCGATTCTTGTTCAACATTTTTAATTGCTTATTAGTTATGGAATTTTTTAAATTCATTGTCAAGAATTTAATTTAAAATTTAATGTTCGGCAAGCATAGTATGTATACAATTGTAAACTTTCCTAAAGCCCAAATAAAAAAGTATGCTGATCGACGTATGTTGATACATGCCAATACTGAAAAGTCGTTACGCTATTTCCATGTCGGTTCAACGATGCACATTGAAAAAAGGTCAAAACAGGTATTCTTGTTTACTATACAGCATTCTTATAACTATAACCGGTTAAAAAATGCTGGATAAAAGAAACTGAGAAGTAATTCGTGAATATGACCCTCACAAAAGATTTTTTTAACGTAATATTTCTTTTGTTTTGTCGTGTCCCATTAATATAGTCATCATCAAACTATTCATCATTAATAAGGTCCAAACAAATGAGTGACGGTAAACAGAAAAGGGCGGCAGACGTCGAGGATGACAGTAGTCCTAATCTGTGATCCCTGTCTTCCACCTTCAGGTCGTCCCTTGCACCGGAAGTGTCACCGAAGGTCAGATTTACGACCGGGAACGGGTTCCGCAGGGGTCACTGGACCCCGACCGTACATTTCAGTTCCAGAACTTTTTCGAAATTTATCACGTTACAGTAATATCTATCACTTCGTTGACACTTGTACCAAAAGAGGAGGAAAGCAGATTTATTTTTAATAACATGATTTGTTTAATAATATTTGTTTAATAATATTTGTTTAATAATATTTAGAGACAGTTGTGCAATAAGGGATCGGTAAATATCGCGATTTAAAACATAATATCGAAGAATAATAATACATTGCAATTTCTAAATATTAAATATTAAAAAACCTTTTAACACGATTATAAGTTTATTTATTTCAAGCGCTTTCTATGTTTTCGTACATTTTTGTGTTTTTCTCTTTTTCAAAGATCTGAAAGCTTTGAGGGAAAAAGGATAGAAAATAACATGACAAATCCTATATCTGTCATCATGACATCATTTGTCTTCCGTTAATAGCTGTTTATCTTAATCCGTCTATTAGCCTACATTTACTCTTTGTATCGTTCGATCAAAAACACAGTAACGATCTTTATGTAAAAATTGCTGATCTAATTCATGGAAAATTCTGTCTTCGCGTGCACTAAATACTATGTTGCCTTTACTTAAACTTCGTATTTTTGCGTCATCCATCAAAATACCCATCAATAATCATTTAAGAAAAAAAATAAAGATAGATCGCGGGTCCGTAAAAACGACGCTAGCACAATCGATTATTATGGATTATCGACCTGTGCTTCCTGTTTCTGTACAGTCTTCAATTTACAATAAAGCTGGGATCCATAATAATCAGTTACGACTAAGGTTACCAACTATACTCTTAAAATTTTATGTATTTATAAAATTATATTACTAAGAATTATAAATAAAAATAATGTTCTAGAAATTTTATTTCATTATATATAAATATCTACATTTAATGCATACAAAATTATACTTCCTCTCTCTCCGCTTCCGAATCACCTTTTTTTAAAATGTATACACGTGTATCCTTTTTTTATAATTTAGATATGGTAACGCTAGTCACACGACTAACCATCATGGAATTTTAACACGCCAGAAACACCGACGACAATGATACATGTGCCGAAAAAGCCCTATAAAAGACACTCGCGCCAGACAATCCTAATAATCGGATGCATGCTCCCGCGAATGAAATAAAATCAGAGTACGCCCCGCGTTAACGAGCCATTTAGATGGAAATTTGCGCCGTTAATAAGGTACAAAGCTCTTAGCAAACGCAAAAAGCGACTATCACGCCGACGGAGAGTAGATTTACAGTCATACAACAAGAGGGGTAGCCATGCCAGTTCGACAAAGGTTAACCGTTTTTCTTGTTTATTTTCGTTGCAGGACCACCCATGGTTCATCCACCGAGTCAAACGGTGACGGCGAACGAGGGCGAATCCCTGGACATCATCGTCGAGTTTTGTGCTCGGCCGAGTTACACGAAGGTTCTCTGGATATCGGAGAAGCATGTGTATGTGCCGGACGCACCCTCCCGTGACGGAGTTCGAGCCCTCGCAATCGAGGTAAATTTGCATGTCTCGCTGTATCAAACATTGTTCGCGTGCTTGGGCGCCTTCGTACGGTTCCTCAACTCGCACGAGAGCGTCCGTGAAATTCAGATTACATAAATACACTTGGTCTCTGAAATTATGTCAATTCGATAATTTGCAGTTCATGCTCGAATTCACTGTCGCGTCCCCTTCTCAGATATACGTAAAATTAATTAAACTAAGTTCACAAATTTTGAATAATTCTTAGTGCAAGAAAAGGAAACAGCTTTTTTTTAACGATTTTTAATTCGAAATTGGACACTGATGAGAATAAATCTAATCGAGAGAAAAATTAGTAAAAATTATATTTTCAAAGCGGATCTTAGCGTTTAAATATTGCAAAGTGAATTTATATATATCCCATAGGATTTCTCTTACTTAATCAGATTTAACTATTTTGGGGTGCTGAATTCAAATCTGCCATCAAAAAAATTCCATCAAATATTTAAGATATGGTGTCAATTTTTAAGATATAGTATTTCTAAATAATAGCAATAGTAATACTGGCAATAGTTGTACTGATATTGCAATAGTAATTTTAAGTAATAATAAATAATTATACATACTTATGCTTTTAATAATTAACACGATTAATGATTAACATGCAGTTAATAATTAATACATTAAATGTATTTTTAAGTGAAAAATTAATTGAAAAAATATATTTGAGAAAAAAAACACGCGTTAAGTTCTGAAAGTTTATCATCATTGTAAATTGCAGTTTATCTCTTGTTACAAATTGCAGAAAAACAAGTTTTTTATTGCGAAATAATTACAACCTTCATAATCTGATCAGTTTATTTCCCTCAGTAAAATATATTTTTCTCATGTACTTGCACGTAAACTAATTTATTATTCTTTCCAAGCATGCTTCAACGGTCGTATTTTCACTTTATTTAGAAGAAAAATAATTACAAATATCAAAATTGTGAGCTTTACTTTTATGAATAAATAATAAATAATATACATAGAATTGCGCAAGAAGAACGTTGATCACATATTTACAGTTCGTAAATATTTGTCATTCACATTGTAGTAATATTTGGTATAATAAATTATTCATTTGAGAATATTCCTTATAAATGTAACGTAAAATGATATGATGCTTTGTCACAATGTTTGAAACAACTAATTGATATTTCTATCAATCATGGTATATAATTACATACATTATAATTACATACGTTAATGAAAGCTACGTTGCTTGCTTATTGATTCAAGTCTTTCTCCGTGAGGAGGATGAAATAGCAGAATTTTATTAAAAGCTACGATCTGATTTACTCTGTTTTGCGCGGATGATTTTCTTTTTTTTTTTCGGCAATCTCGTGCTCTCGTGCACTGTAAAAATACCACGCAAAAACGCAATTCGCGCGTTCGCTGAAAATCCGTCGTCTTTTGTAACACGGGGATGACGTTCGTATACTCGCTCGGGGATTACACGCTTCCACGAGGGGCGTGGTTGGTCCTTCGACGCGAAAATTATGTCGCTATCCCCGGCATGGACGTTCGCGTGATATCCGAAGGTATTGCGATGCGACTCGGCAGAGCAGAGAGAGAAAGCTACCGAGAGGAAGGCTTGGGAACGGCCAAGCTCTCGCCTTTCGCTCGCGAGAACGGCGGAGGGTAGCGAGATGAAAGGGATGCGGATAGAAATGGTGACAAGATACTACGAGAATGTATATGCAGACCGGTTTATGCGTATGCATATACGCGCGCTTATTTCATTTCCACAGTCGGCGTACTTCTTTTTCCGCCCGAGCGGAGACAGAATCCGCGCGCGCGTGCGCGCGTGGAGGTAGTCGCATCATAAAGGACGGATTAACCATTTTTCCAGGAGTGCCGGGCGGACACGGACAATGCGACGGAGCTTTGCGAAGGATTTGCCGATGCACCCGGTGTTGCGTTTGTTTTTATTAACGTTTGATCCTATTCGCTATGTGAGCGCGATAAGGACGAGCAGTCCGATTTCGCGGTGCGAGTAACGATTGGCTCGGTCGATTCTATTGAAAATTGCGGACTTTATTGGGAATCACGATGATGCGAGCACAATGTAGTGTCGTGTTTACATTACAGGTAGCGACGTATAATATATCTCGCGTCCGTAGATAATATTTATAAAATATAGGTATCTTATACGGATTATAGCATCGCATGCGCATTATTCTCCGCAGCGTTGATACTTTAAATAAAAATGGTGAACGAAACTAAGCATCAAAGCGATCTACAGAAAAGAAATAACGTATCTATTGGGAAATGATAAAAAATGTAATTACAGTTTCCGGATGGTGAAATTTCTTTTTGATCATCGAATATTACGATAATATTATCGGATATTATTAAGATACTTTTGAGAATATACTTCGTACGCAAAATATTTTCATAGCGCCGCTTACGTATCGATCTTCTTTTCGCGATGATACTCTGTTGAAAGCTATTACGTATCATATAGAGACTTCTCAAAAACGTCTATACTGTATTGAAAGGTGATTTTATTGCTGAATCACATAAAAACTATAGATATAGAACAAAATCGATTGTCAATAATTGATAATTAATAATCAATAAAACATTTATATTTTCGTAATTAAAAACATTTATTAACAAGAAAGTTTATTAATTACTGAATGGCTTTATTGCTATGCTTAATCGAAAAACTACGTAATGAATTATTTATATGAAAAAATTTAAATTACTTTATTATTACTTTATTACATACATCGTAATATTTTTTCGTGAGAAATAAAATGTATACGTACATACGTAATGCAAACAGAAAAAAGTTAACGCACAATTTACAATTATTTTATTGTGTTTAATGTTATTTTACATATGTTTGGATATAAATTAACTTCAAACAAGTTGAAATTGTGTTATAATGGAAAATTTAAAGAGGAAAGCCAAAGTTATTAAAATACAATAATAAATTAAAAAGGGAATAAAAAATTTAAAAGGCGCAAGAAGAAAAAGTTAGAAGAAATGACAACGAGGTAAAGAAATGTTAAATATGTTAGTAGATAAGAAAAAAGCAGAAAGAAAATAAAAGAAATTGGAAGTAAAAAGAGTATGAATGAAATAGGAGGTAGAAGTTTACAAAGAGAATAGGTTAATGGAGATAGAGAAATGTCAAGAAATCTCGATAGAAAAAGCTCGAACAGGCAAAGTAGAATATGTTAGTAAAGGAATACTGAGTAAAGTAAGGGAAACGGACGACGAGATAGTTTGAGAAGGAAAAAGAAAAATGAAAGTTACAGAAACTTAGAATGTATTAGCGGAGAAAGTTTGGACAAACTAAAGAAAGAAAGAGAACAAAAAGATAAGAATGAAAGAACAAGGCAACAACAAAGCCAATAGCAAAACCAATATGATGGCGTGATAAAAAGGAGGTATGCACGATGGTATGGTAAAAAAGACAGAAAGATACATAGAGATATGAGATGAAAACAACAAGAAGAGAAAGACAGGGAGGAAGCAAGCGAGACGCGGGATGATTCGCAAAGAGGGGTGCGGAAATGGAAGGTGGGATGATGCGGACAGAGTTCGTAAATAAAAAATACAAAAAGAATGGATCGACTGATGGGGGAGTGCGAGCTTCCGTCGTGCCGAAAAGATGGAGGTCGGGAGGAGGTCGAAACGCGGGGTTAAATGGAAAAAACTGCCGATTCCTTGCATACGAAAAACTCACAAGACCCCCCTTTGCAGCAACGAATCCTCCGTCTGCTGGGAGTCGACGAGATACATTGCCGTAAGATGACATCAGTTTCGTCAATGTATAATATGATTCTCCGATTCAATTACGTATTCCTCCACGGCCGCGTTATCGATAAAATGAATACGAGAGAGATACTGTTGCCTCGATATTAAAAGGTCACAATGACATTCCGTGTTATTATATTCGATCAGTTCTGTGCGAGTACAGTGATGAGGTCTTCTATTATGTGCATTCTGATTGTATACTAAAACAAGATCAAAAACGAAATTATCGCAAATCGTCAAATATTCCCTTCAATGTCGCAATAGCAAAGAAATATCAAATATAATAGTATATACGATATTTTACGATATTCTGTAATTTAAAAGTTGATAAATGTTTTATGTCTCTTGACATATATGTTTTTCTCTTTTCATTATCAAATAATCATTTTATAAAGCAAAGATATTAATACAACAGTTAAAGCTATACCACGTTTTGGCTAAATATATATTACCGAAGTAATTCAAGATGTTCAGTGTAAATTTAAAGCATTTGAGGCATTTAATATTTAAGAGCTTAAAATGAAATTTTGATGTTAAATTGGCAATAGAAAAGTTGGAACAAAATATTTTCGCAATTAATTTCTGTTTTTCTTGTACTTCCTTTTCCAATTTAACCTAGCAATGTTAATAATATATCTTATATTTTTAAAAAACATATATTAAAATAATAAAAATTTAATATTTATCCTAATAACAAAAAGGTCATATTTTAGAATATTTTTACTTGTATTTAACGACATAATATAAAATGGGAACTTAAAAACCTGAAAGGTATTCGATTGTCTAATGATGAAGGAAACATTGACAAATCTTAAATATAAAATATAAATATTTGTCAAGAGAAAATTTCATCTCATTTTTTTCATTGTTTCGTACAAACCATCAGTGTTGCTCTCCTATTAAGGTCAATTATCTCATAAACCGAAAGTTTCGTAGACCTATGATCGGCTTAATACGATTGATTTTTCCATGAACAAAGAAACGAAGTCGAAGAAAGAGGAGTCATTATAGGTACTAATGCGGAAAGTAATAAAACGTATTTTAAGGGGATAAAAGACGAAGAAAATGGAGAAGGTGGGGAGTCTAAGAAGAAGCAGTCGAAGGTAAGATGGATAATTGAAGCGAGAACATAGAACGATGCCGGAAGTTCCCAGTTTGCTCTTGCCGGAAGTTTTACGTGAAAGTTTAATCGTAAAGACAGAGAGAAAGAGACTATGCCTGATAAGGGGACGACTGGATGGACGTTATCGAATCGCAAGTTAATGAGCATTATGCGATAAAAACGTCTTAGTCTGGAGCATGACCTGCGGCAACCAGATCCCAATGGTTTAAAACGCTATGAAAGCGCCATAAAAACGTCTTCGTAAAGATCTTCGCGAGCACGAGCTTGATACCGTCACTGTCAATTGTAGATGCCATTTTACTTTGGCTCGTTACCCTGCTTCAGCTTGTTAAAGAAAAACTTTCGGAATTCCCTCTATAGTGTCTCGCTTGACATCTTATCAGGGAACAAAGCGATTTTGATATGGGTCAACCTCAAACGAGTTCATTTCTCGCAACCCATGACTGTAAACAGGAATTTCAGTCAACCTTTAGGAAAAATAACATCGTGAGAAGTACATATATATATGTAATCATAAAAATATGCTTAGTATACTAAAAAATGTAATAAAAACTCGCATTCAATGGCAATGTTGGAAAAAAACACGTCAATTTATTTAAATTTAAATATACATTTAAATATATCTATTATAATATATTTTTATATATTCTTTTTAAACAAAATTTGAATTTTTAATATATAAATTTAAAAAGTAAAAGATAGAAGAGATTATATTTAATAATCAAAATAACTATTTTTTAAATATGAATATTAAATGAATAATATCTTGTCTTCCTAATTCCTTTGTATACTACTGAATATATTGAAACTAAAATTCTTCACAACCTTTGGTTTCTTTAGAAATGGAAAACATTCGATAAGGAGCAGTTATTTATATTTCGTTTTACTTTTTTGCAGGACGGCGGCACGGAGTCATGTTACAGGACGACCCTGCGTTTCGAAACGATTCAGTCGTCACATACAGGAGAATGGTTGCTACTGGTCCGTTCGTCAGAAGGGATCGCCGACGCTTCCGTTCTATTAAACGTGACACGCGCTTCCGGTTACAGTCATGCCCACATCCGATCGGCGAGTATTACGTACCTTCTACTTTGCCTGATCCTACAGGCGATCTTGCGGGAATACCGTCGCTGAGGCGATCGTCCGATGGAGATTTTGGCGGAAGAAACTTTGGCAAAATTCCTAGCTATATGGAAAGCTCGTACGTTAGCTTCCCCAATGACGAGAGGAAAAGGGAAGCTTCTCTGTACATAATATCGAAATTCTTTCTCCGAAAGAATTTTCCCCGCGCGATTCTCGCGTCAACGAGACGCACAATTTGCCCGACGTGCCGCGACGCGACACTTGCGTCTCTGGCATAGCACGAATACAATGAAACACTGGATGGGAGTTCTGCTGACGCGCCTTCGGCGCGAATTATTACGGCCTTGGTGTTCCTCGGATCTCGTAGCGGGTCCTCTTGTTCTACTCTAGGACGCGAATCTGGATAACGCGTTTACGAATGTACGATCACGCGAAAGCGCACGGACCGTTGCCATCGTTATGTAAAATCTTAGGCAAGCTTGCGTCCGCTCGAACGAGTCCCCGTGCGATTGAGACACGATTAAAATTCGATTTCTCTGGCCTTATATATGAGAATAGCGGAGGGGCGATGGGATACGTATTTATATAGAGTGAAAATTTGTAAACTACGAATCCGCGTTCACGCGCGTGCACCGACAGTCGCGCGATACGCTATACGTGTATATACTTGTATAGGTAGGATCAGAACGAAACGAAGACCAATTCTTTTTTTTCTCTTTTCTTTTTTGCCACTCGAATTTCTCGCAAATGAAAGATATGAGATATAGCCGTCAAATTGTGACCGAATAAATTCTGATAGATACCGACTTCGAGCCGAACTGTAATCTATTAATATTGCAAAGTGAACTCGCGACGCGCGAGTTCAACAAGCGATACTGCCCATATTAAATAACGAAATAATAAGATTTGTGCCGGCAGGATGGTGTGATGAAAGAAACTAGAGAGCTAATTGCAAATTTTAACTTTTAACGAGGGACATACGATTTTCTGCACGTCCAGGAAAGTGTATGGGGTATGTCAACGGACGGGAAAAACTTAATTGTGCAACGTCAAATATTCCCAAAGATAGGGCGACTAAAATAAATTGTTGTATATTATTTAGAGTAAGTAGAGTTTGATAGTATGTATATAGTGACTGTAAATGCGTAGGCTATCGTACGCCCGTACACGACGAATTATACAGTGACGCTGTTAGAGATATATTTATTATTCGTTGATATATTTTTATAAAGTTTTATTTAGCCATAAGTTCTCGTTCGCCTTCCCCCCCTGAATCTCGTTCGCACGATCATAACGCTCATTTCGTTGAGTGAGGCAGAGGAGCAAAGCGGCGATGGCGCTTTGTGCTAAGAACTTTTCAACGAGAACCTTACAATAAAATATACTATGTCCTATAAACGTCCTAAATTGAATTTAGCTGTAGCTATTGTGAGAAACACAGACATTGTTGTTTCTGCGATACTTTGATCTATCTGATTGGAAACGGAACGTAGCGCGACATAGCGACTCCGTTCCAATCGATTCCGCTTTTTTCGTTACCTTAAGGTAACTTTTTTTGTAAATTCGGTGGTTCCTAATTTTTGTAAAAATAGAATTTGTACTCGGCTTACCGACGACTAATGCTAATCCTTGTCGCCGGTACGTCTTATCCGCGCGTGTGACCGCAGTCGGTACTATCTATAGATACGAAATAAACATACCTGATGTCTTCACGTTAATTTAGTCGACTTCGACGAATCCGAGTTTTTTTTTCAGATCGCTAAGGTGTTACAAGTAAGCAACGTGGTGTAATCGTTGTACCCAATGATGCCTAAGAGTCCAATAAATGATATTTACAATAATCGTAGTGTGTGCATTTATGACATTTCCTTTATCATGATCTACTTTCTCCATTATTTTGTTTCTACTTTAAGCTTTAGACTAATATCTTTCCAGTTTAAAAAGTCAACACTATTTATTTGCGTTATGTAATTTCGAAATTAGAGATTCGTTATTTATTCCATTAAATCGGATGCTAAATTCGCCATTTTCAACAGGTCGTCTGTTTGAGAACGACCAAAACTATGTCATAAGATTGGTCCAATGAAGGAAAAATTTTTTTGGCGAGTAAAAAAATTATAAAACTTTGAAGGATTTCTTCGCAGGTTGTTTGCGAGAAGAACACGAATTGGGTCTCTCTAATCAAATAAGATGAATCTGGAAGTTTCAGGTAAGTTCTAATAAGTGAAAGGAACGGAGCAGCGGATGATTTTACAAAGAAATCAACGTGAAAAATTCTTTCAGCCAAACGTAACCGACTTTACAATCATTTTCTTTCAAATGGTTTTTGCCTGTGGTTTGAACTGCGACATTTGAAACCCAGTCTATTTTCTATTACTTTTACTTCCGACCGTTTTCTGTTATTCCACGAGGTTTATATTTGTTTTTATATACAGAAGTCTATCGCGTGCATTAATTGTTAGTTATAAAAATACGGCTATAAAACGCTAATGAGAATATTAACTGTTAAATCTTAAGAAGTCAATTTCTCTTTTCAATTTATTGATCAGTTTTTTTTAACCATTATAATTGTTTGTGCATTTATGTTTAAATCTAATTAATTGTGATACAAAATGAAATTAAATTAATTAACATAGAAATTACACAAGTTCATTAATCTTGCTCTTTTCAAAGCATTCTGCGAACTGAATGTTCGCTCAACTAAAAAGACTGTAATGAAAATTTTTTTTTATTTGGCATATTACTATCATTTGACAACGTTTCACATTAAGAAATGAGTTTTCTTTTAAATTACATATGCCAGACCACAGCGCACGATATCACACATTACATTTGAAGATGTTCCTCGCTAAATTGTGTCGACGGCGAGAACTGACCGCATTATGTCCCGTCGACACATATATAGACATATGTGTGTGTAATAAATATATTCGTATATGTATTTTAATATACATATATATATAGATGTATAATATATACATATTACGATGAAAATAATTTAATTCGCAATACCAACACACGCAGTGTAGCGAATGCGCCAACCAAGTCACGTGTAACAGTCGCGTTAACTGGCGCATACACGTATATATATTTCTCGGCTTAAATATAACGAGCTTTCGCTACGAACATCGTGGTAAAGGTAGCAGGACGAAAAGGAGGAGGAAGAGGAGGCAGTGGGTTTCAGTTTGCAGGAAGCCTAGGATCGTTTCATCTCTTCCTCCGCGCGCAGCGGAGAACAATCCGGCTTTGTCTCGTGGAAGCGCGTTTCCTACGCCACTACTACCACTTGGCCATAATTTCAGCTTTTTAGATGTTGCCGGCAGATTGAAGAAGCTACGAGTGTTAAAAGAAGCGAAATGATCGCTCGGGTCGTTCCACGCAACGAGGACTTTCAAGTCTCACAATCAGTTGGCCCACCATTAATGATAATTACGCCGTTTGCGAGAGATTCGATTAATCTCGACAATCGCAGTTAGATTTTCACAGAACAACCACCAGACATTTGTCCATTCATCGTCATACTACGTTTCACTGAATATTTCATAGACCTCTCCAATATTTCTTATCCGATCTCTTCGTTTCACTTGACGAATACAAATGACGGCTATAACAATGCGTAACTGATTGTGATGACTGAATGGCCATAAAAGCAATATACGCTCAACGTCGATAAAATAAAAATGCACTTCTTCACAACGCAATCGGCTATTTAAATTGAATAACGTTAAACGTTAAACGTTTGTTACTCAATTTATATCTGTTTCTATCAATATAGTTTTAATTTTAATCTCGATTCAACTAACTCTTCCCTTTTTCTGGTTCTAAAAATTAGAAGAAGATGAAAAATAGTTAAATCGAGATTAAAGTTTATCTACATTGATAGAAACGGATACTAGGCTCATTTCTATATAGATTAACTTTAATCTCGGTTTAATTTATCTTTTTCTCTTTCTTAGAACTAGAAGAAGATACAAAGTAAGTTAAACCGAAATTGAAATTAATAAATGATATCAATGCAAATACAACAAAAAAATGTCTTTTCTCTTTTTTTCTTTTTTAACGGTAATATGTTGTTAATATATAGTTATATAGTTTTTGACATATCTAGATTTCTCTTCTAATAAAATCCTCAATTTTCTAGGTAATCTTTAACATAAGAGAACGGCACATAGAGAGAAACATTTGTAAAGTTCCTCGTAAGTTGTGTTCCTACAAGCCGTATATTCGTGCACCGACGCAGCATCGCATTATCTCGGGAGATTTGAAACTCGTATGGAGAAAATTATGTTCGGGATTTCCGTGGCTGAGTCGGCGGCTTTTTGCGATCGTCCCTATCCTTAATCTTACCAAATCGATCCTGCTAATACATAATGGATCCCTGAGGCTTGTGATCCGAAATTCGTTCAATCGAATTAACAGCGTCGACAGCACTTTTTCTTCTCCCCTTCTTTTTTCTTTCTCGCTAAATTAATATTGCAAGAAGATATAATGCGTAAGACCAAATCTTTGTGCAATGAAAGTCTACCATATAAAGATTTTTCTTTCGCTCTGGAAAAACCGGATAAGATAACTTTCGTAATTTATTATAATGCTTTTAGAAAATTAAGAAATAATATCTGCTGCTTTTAAGTCGCAGATTAACTTAATAATCTATCACATGAAAAAAAGTATATAAAAGTACACGGATAATAAGTATAAAAATTATACATTTTATAATAGAAACACATTCTTTGCGCTTGTCACTGATAAAATTTAATATATTTTTAACAGTATAAAAATGTTGTGTTATAAACTAAAAATTAAAGTTGAAGTTCTTATAATTATCAAGTCGTTTCGCAGATATAAAAGGTATCCTATATATAACAATTCTTAAGAACAAATTCCTTGATTGATTATTTTGAGACAAAAATTTTTAAATGTCAAAAATCGAGATTTTAATAATTTTTGAGTTATAAGTATTTAAAAGTCGGTCATTTAATAATATACGTACACATAAAAAAACCTAATACTTACATATAGAAAATAGGTTTACAGAAATATTAAATAATCTTATAAAAGTAAAAATAATCTTACTATTTTTAGATATGTTTTCAAAGAGAGATGCTATTTATGTCATTCTATCTTTGTTTTTCTAATGAAGAATAGAATGACACAAATCTAAAATCTAAATATTTATGGAAAATTATATGGGAATTTTTATCTCGAAATAATCTGCTCAACGTTGTTACCTTTATCGGACATCTACAGTTTTGTTTATAACCCTATTAATATGGCATGTTATATTAAAGTAAAACGGATTTATTACAACATTAAAATGAATTTAATGAAATTTATATTGAAAGTTAACAAAAATTTCTAATGATTAATTGCTTACTATTGAGATAAATACATTTGTTATTAATGTTTTCTAAAATTTCCCAAATAATTATCATAGTTCACGCTATTATTTATATTCTTGAGTTGTTTAAGCTTGTATAGTAAATGCGAGTTGTCTCTTCCTTCTTTCATGTTATCTTACCCAAGCTTTCGCGAAGCTCCATAAAGAGCAACTTCAAGAATATGCAGTTT